TCTCTAAGTAAGCAGCTGGACTCTCTGCCTTTCCCTGTACGACCGAATATACCTTAGCCAAATTGATGGGCTTGCGAGCTGCAGCCCGGAGACCCGCCATCAGAGTCTGGCGATAAATGAGTAGCCTTCCCCTACCTTCTGCCGTGTTGTAGTCCCATTCGTCCTGTGGAGGTCTGGTTAGGGGGAGAGCCGCATTAATGAGGTCAGGGTTAGATGTCGGCTGACCGTCGTCTCCGGGAACCAGCTTTCTTGATTCTAATTGGATCCTCTCTCGCTCCTCTGTAGTGAACAGGATGCAGAGGAGCTGCTGACAGTCGTCCCAGGTGGGCTGGTGGGTGAACATGACACTGTCTAAAAGAGCTATTAGGTCTTTAGGGTTATCAGAGAATCGAGCGTTCTGTGTTTTCCAGTTGTAAAGGTCACTGGTGGAAAAGGGCCAATACTGGAGTTGGGGGTTGCCTGTTTCATCTGGGGGTCCTATTTCCTGCAGGGATAGGGCCACAGTGGAGTCGGGGAGGCGAGGGTTTGGCTCACGCTGGGTGCGTCCGCGGGTTCCGACGGCTGGCCTCTCGCGGTTGGTTTCATTTTCAATGGGGCCCTGCGCGGCTGCTGCCTCCCGTCCTCCTGGTTCCGGCACAGCTGCCGCTTCCCGTCCTCCCAGTTCCCCTAGGGGGGCAACTAGCGGGGCGACTGGTGGGGCGGCTGCTGCGGGCAGGGCCTGGGGTATGAGGGGAGGGGGATGATAGGGTGGAGGGTTTAGGGATAGTAGGTCCTGACTATTGGGCAATATGGGATACAAGGGCGCGGCTGGTGTCCTTGATTTTGGGGGATCTGCAGGCCGTATGGCAAGGACCTTACACGTTCCCGAGGATAGGAAGGGGGCCAACCAAGGGGGTGGATTTTCCACTAAATTCCGCCATACAAGAATGTAGGGAATCTGATCCGGGTGCCCCTCGCGACCCGGTAGAAAAATCTTTGACTTCACCTTAGCAATTATAGGGAGGCAAAAAGTTCCTTCGGTTGGCCATCCAACGCCGAAGGTTGGCCATTTGGAGTGGCAGAGGGTTATTAATTTTCCCCTCTGGATGTCTAGACTCAAATTCTGTCCTCTGGTTCTAACATCCCTGAAGTTAGCAACGAGGAGAGAAAGGGGAGTGCTTTGAGATAGGCCCATCTGTATCCTGGAGGTGGAGGAAAGGATTAAAAGGAGAAACAGTAAAGTTATGAGGATTTCTGGCTGGGCTGGGCCAGGCCAGGTCACCTGCGAAAGAGAAGGGGTTTAACACTTAAAGGTTATAGAATAGAGAACACAACACTTAGATCGCTAGCGCATTTCGGGTGTCTGTCACCCGGACAGAAGAATTCCGATGGGCCCAAAAAAGTGCCCCAGACGGGTGCCAGTCACCCGAACAGAAGAATTCTGATGGGCCCAAAAAGGTGCCCCAGACGGGTGCCAGTGGACGTCTCCTACTGGACCCGACTGACTGCCCTATAGCGCGCCCGCCAGGGCTGTGTCAGTCCCCGATACAGATCCCGCGCGGAAGAGCCAGAAACGAACAGACAAACACAAATGGACAGAGCCGGCTCACTTACCGATCGGTCTCAGGGACGACCCGTTGACTTGGGGTCTGGTGGGCTTGGGGGATCCCGGACGAGCCCCCAAATGATATGCCCCAATTCGAGAGACTCCCCAAAAACAAACCACCAGAGTCCAGAGTCAAAGCCAAGTGGCAAGGGTCATTTATTGCAGGTTCGAACCCGGTCCTCCGCGCACTCGTTGCCGGTGACGCTAAGAGGCCCCGAGCGAGGATCTTACAGCTTCTTTTATAGACAGGCACAAACAAGTTAGGGATTTTTTGCAGTTACAGAGCTGTTATTGGTTGACATTTAAATTTGAACACTCAGCAGAACTTGATTGGTTCCTGCCTTTTTTTCAAACCACTCAGCAGAACTTGATTGGTTCCCGCCTTTAGGTCAGACCACAACCGGGCACGCCCTGGCTGGTTTCGGAAACAGCGGCGGGGGGGGGGGTGTCTTTTCTTTGCAGTTGTGAGTACATCTGGTAATTTTTCTCTTAGTCTCTCAGATTCATGTCATGAGCACGCTATGAAGGTGCACACACTAGTCGTGTCTTTACACAATGTCGGCTGTATTCAGTCATAAAGCAAAGTTAATCACAATTATAAAGCAGGTTCAGGATTCCAAACTCAGTGACATTTCAGCATGTGATTCAACTTGGCTTCTTACAAAGGTCACGGAACAGAAGACAAGCTGATGGGGAAAAATTGTTATAAGATGGCCGACAGGACTGATAGGGGAATTCCAGTCCCGTTGCCCGAAGACTCCCCTTCCAGGTTCCCTTCCTAACTTGCTTGCCGAGCATGCCAAATTACTACTAATGAGGAAGTAACAGACTATAAAACGTACCCCATGCTTGCACTCAGACCTATGGAGAGCGATCTCCTCTGAGCCCACCGGTGTGAAATAAACCTCCTGCCTTCCAAGATCTCCTAGGGCCTTTTGGTTGTTCTGTTGGGTGATCCAGCCCAGGTTCTGTATCAAAGCTACACAACAAACAATGGTGTGGGAAGTTAACGAACCAGGTTCGTTGCTAACAAGGTCAGTCTGTGGATGTGCAGTTGAGAAAGGGCCTAGGTCCAGTCCAGGTCAGCTCTCAGCACTTAAAGCTTACTATGTTCAAGCAGTGAAGGACCTCGGTCTGTTCAGAGATCAACTGGGCAGAGCTTTCAGCAGACAGCTGCCTTTTCTAAGTGGTCAGACATAGAGAGGTCACGTCTGAAGAGTCTGACAGTTTGCTGCAAAAATTCTCCCCTTTTTAAAGGGATTTAAATGGCCTTGGTCCCCTACAGAACTTCTCTGGTTCTGCTTGTTATCACTTCTGGGTTGGTAGCTGATGCTGGTCTTATAGCTGCAGTACCTTTAACTGCATGTGTCATTGCTTAACACAGTCCCCTGCATGACACTCCTTCTTGACACAGACTCCTGCTTGACATGAGAAACTCCATTTTGCTCTGTATAATTCACTCTTCAGAAAATAAAAAGTTGTGTTGGGACCTGCTACTGATGAGGAAGCATAAGGATAAGGCAAGCTGCCAGGCCTCAACCCCCCCCCCCCCCCCCCCCCCCCCCCCCCCCCCCCCCCCCCCCCCGCCCCCCCACTCCCCAGGTGGGATATGTGTGATATCCCTCAGGCACTCCTGGCTGCTCAAGAACAAAGGAAAGGGGAAAAACAAGTGGTTAACTGATAGAGATCATAGTCCTACAGGACCTAAGTTTCCATCACCCCTCCATAGTGATGTGGGAAACAAAGGCAGAAGAAAATGGCAGATAGAACTAAATTTCCTTATAACCTGCATCCCATTGATAAATACTTGAGGCTGGCAGAATGAAATGTTTCTCCGAGAACTCCGAACTCCTTACTGTCTTAATGCTAATGATTTGCTAGAGGGAAAAACAACCTTAGCTTGACAATAGCTAGCCCTTCAGTATCCTGTGAATCTTCTTTAGCATATGAAAATCTCACTTGAGCCTTCCCCTGGACTTTACCTCCCCCAACCCAGTAGTATGTAACCAGTCTCTCCTCATGGTCCCTGGGTAGCTCTTCCTGCCCATGGGTCCTGTCCCGCTACTTTAATAAAAGTGTCTTTTTGCACTAAAGACATCTTGAAGAATTCTTTCCTGGACATTGGCTCCAGACCCCGTGAACCCCAGTGTCATCCTCAAAACCTCAGCAGTTACACAATTTTATAATCAATAAGAACACGGCAAATTTCTAGGCTCTGCTTCTAGATCTCAGTACCAAAGACTATCCTGTTTTTTCCTTCTGATGTAAACCTTAGTGACCACAATAGGGCACTTGAAATTTCTAGATAGTTCATTGGGTTATTTTCTAAGAACCTCCTCCTAAAATTAAAATATAATCTAGGAAGATACCACAATAACCTGTGGATAAACTTGATTTAATTGGTCTAATTTCCTTGATTTGTCTTACTCAGATGGTAGGGATTAAATGAGACACAGCCAGTGACTTATGATAAGTTACATGCATATTGCCAAATGTGATATAACAGCCCTGCCACTGGCCATAGATACATAAAATTCAGAGGTAAAGTCTCAGTGCTATGCTATGGTTGAGGGCACTTTCAAGCAGTGAGATACAGAAGTGAGGACAATAGTTGGTTGGCAGTGGTACTGAAAAATGTAGACAAAGAAAATGGATTGAAAAGGTAGGAAAACAAAGTTCATGTCTGGTTCAGTTTATCTACGGTCAATCATAGTGTTTAGTGACCTTCAAACTCAATATTATATGCAATAGATTTATAGAAGTAATCCCCTGCAGAGTCCATTCAAAGCATAAATTCAGTAAATAAGACACACTGTGGGGATTTTCTCTTTGTCCATTCTAAAGTTTGCTATTGTTTTTGTGATTGGAATTCAAGCTGTTACTGCATTATTCAGAGATCACAGAAAATGTGTGTTTGGAATGTATTAAAAGGATAGAAGAAACAATGAGGAACAAACAAAGTGGGAGAAATGAGATTTGGTGGTTTGAGTAATGGGGCATTAGGAAAATAAGGAAATTAGGTTAAAGAAAGCTGAATGACTAAGGCTGTCATAAAACAACACAAACAAATTGAGTGCATCCTTGTGGAACATTTCAAATTTCCAGAAGAAGGAAGTGCTAGAGTTTGAAATAAATTGCTGGGCTTTGGTTAAGTGGTGGGAAGGAGTTTGTGTCCTAGCTGCCACCTTTGTTCTAGGCTTTCAGAATGAAGCCTGTGTACAAGTGTGGCCCAAACACTGATGGCATGGGAATCCACCCACCCCCATCCCCTGCCAGAAACATCAATTTGAATAACTATCTGCTTACAAAAATACCTTCACAAAAGCGCAGGATTCCAGGTGAGAGACTTCAGCACCTTGGGTGAAACACAGAAATAAGAAAGGGCACACTGAGGAGGGTAGGAAAAATAGATTCACACTACCACTATTACCCCACTTTTAAGCCCCAGCGGCTCAGCAAAGAGTGAAACACCATCTCCTTGGGAGAAGGAGAGTAAAGTGAATTCCTAACCTCATCTTGGACTTCAGAGCTGCCCACCTCAGCTCCATGCTTACTCCTGCTATATGTTCATTACTTGCACTTCTGGGTATATATCTAAAGGAAATGAAAACACTATGTTGAGGAGACATCAGCACCCCTGTGTTCACTGCAGAATTATTCACAATTGCTACGATATGGAAACTACTTAAGTATCTGTCAACGATTAAAGGATAAAGAAAGTATACATATGTATAATGGAATATCACTGGGCCATACAAAAGAAGGGAATCCTGCCTTTTGCAACAACATGGACATTGAGGGTATTGTGTGAAGTGAAATAAGTCAGACAGAGAAAGACAAATGCTGTATGATACCATTTATATGCAGAGTCTAAAAAAGAACCCCGAAATCAGAAATAGAGTGGAATAATGGTTGCCAGGAGCTCGCGATGGGGAAGATGGGGAGGTATTGGTCAAAGGGTATAAACTTCCAGCTGTTAGAGGAATAGTTCTGGGGATCTAATTACAGCATCGTGATGATGATGAACAGTACTATATTATATACTTAAAAGTTTTTAAGAGAGTAGATTTTATTTATTTATTTATTTATTTATTTATTTATTATTTTTTATTTAATTTAGTTTTTTTTTTTTTCAATGTTTATTTATTTTTTTTTGGGACAGAGAGAGACAGAGCATGAACGGGAGAGGGTCAGAGAGAGAGGGAGACACAGAATCCGAAACAGGCTCCAGGCTCTGAGCGGTTGGCACAGAGCCCGACGCGGGGCTCGAACCCACGGACCGCGAGATCGTGACCTGGCTGAAGTCGGACGCTTAACCGACTGTGCCACCCAGGCGCCCCTAATTTAGTTTTTGAGAGAGAGGGAGAGAGAGCAGGAAAGGGGCAGATAGAGAGGGAGAGCAAGAATCCCAAGCAGGCTCCACACTGTTAGTGCAGAGCCTGATATGGGGCTCGAACTCATGAACCACGAGATCATGACCTAAGCAGAGATCAAGAGTCACATTTCAACTGACTGAGGCACTCAGGGGCCCCATTATGAGAGTATATGTTAAATGTTATCTCATGCACATACAAGATGGCAATTATGTGAGAAGATGGGGTGTGTTAACTAACCTTATTGTAGTAATACTTTTGTAGTATACAAGCATCAAATTATCACATTATACATCTTAAACC